AATCACCAGGCTTCATTTGGAGCCAATTAAAAGCAGGGAGGGAGAAGGCGGGGGAGGTGGTACTGCTGGAACAAGATCTTGGCATCTGGGGGCTGCAGCTGCCAATGCTCAGCCCTCATCTCCTGTGGCCATACCTGTTCATTCCAGTTCTGGAGCAGACGGAGGAGCCAGAGGAAGGATAACCGTTCAACACCCCGGGCTCCAGAATCCAACACTACGAGTGAAATAACCCCGACAGACGGGCGATCCACTCAAACATCTGTGGCTGTGACAGAAAGCCCGTGTTGTAATCAAGAAGGCAAACATGTGCATGAAACTGGCTGGCAGCCAGGGGCGATCTGCACCGTTCATGTCAGAGGGGGCTCATGCACCGCTGCCTTTGTGTGCGTTGCCCCTTTAAATCTACCCATTTGGCCACTTTTGTGCCCATTTTGGTGCAGACTCTTGCAGAATGTACACCGCGCAGTCTCTGTCTCTCGTGGCAACTTGACTTTCGTTCTTTCCTGTGTCTTTCATTAAGGACTGAAAATACATGCTTGGCCTTTGCGGCAGTAGACATCTAAATGCCAGTTTCTTTGGCCTGGAGGGTGAACTCCAAGCTCAAATATTTGCTACAGGATGCTCCAAAATGTACAGATCTTGGCTGGGCATCTCAGCTGAACTCAAGGGCTAGGCTGCGGCACAAAGAGAGAGCTAGCACCAAGCCGATTCCTTACAGGGCGTCGCGGATCTACTTCTGTCATTACTGGGCCGTGGTTTAGTGCCCTGGGTCACACACCGAAGATGTAAGTCCTTGTTGGTGGCCTCTGAGCCCATCCCAAAGCTTCTCCGGAGCCTCCAAGTCAACGTTTCTCAACCCATGGGTCACAACCTAAAGGTGGGTGGCAAGAATATGTGAAAGGGTTGCAAATAAACCTTAAAAATAGATGCTCCTTTAAAGGAAAAAAACGTGGGAAACCGTGGCTTTTTCCTTGCAGGCTGCAGCTCTGCTATGCCCCATGCACCCACCGCCTGCCCCGCACCCTGGAGCTGTGTCTGGGCACAGGGAGCAGCAGGTTGGGAGTGGGGGGCACTGGGTTGGGACTGGCCATCGACATCTACAAAGGGGTCCCGGTACAAAAAAAGGTTGAGAACCACTGCTCCAAGTGAACTCAAACCAAGCGTTTGCCTCCAAAGGGCATAATGGTCCAGGAATCAGAGGCAGGGGTTGAAAATCAGGGCTCCTGACTCGTTTCCACACCTGGGATGGCGAGCGCTGGTAGTGCCTAGCTCTGTGGCACGTGTGTCAACAGCGGTGCTCACAAACACAAAATCAAAAAGAAAAAAAAAAATCAGTGTCCCCCATTTTACAGACGAGACAACTGAGGCACAGAGCAGGGCCACAGCTGCCCACAGTGGCAGAGTCAAGCCGAGAAGTCAGGTTGCAGATGGGACTCACACCTGGGATGGCGAGCGCTGGTAGTGCCTAGCTCTGTGGCACGTGTGTCAACAGCGGTGCTCACAAACACAAAATCAAAAAGAAAAAAAAAAATCAGTGTCCCCCATTTTACAGACGAGACAACTGAGGCACAGAGCAGGGCCACAGCTGCCCACAGTGGCAGAGTCAAGCCGAGAAGTCAGGTTGCAGATGGGACTCGGGATCCCCTCCAGCCCGTCTCAGGCACAGAACTGTGGGGGGGCGAGCTCCTCCCCGTGGAGTGGGGCGCTGGGGGGGGGGACCGAGGCCCCGCCTCCCCTCCCGGTCTATTGGTCGTCTGGCGTCCTCTTCCCGCCTTCAGCGGGGAGCCCGGCCAATCACCGCGGGGAAGTGGAGAACAGTAGGTTCGGGTGCGGAGGCGGCGGCCGGACGGTCCGCGGTGGAGCGGAGGGTTAGTGAAGAGTGCGGGGGGCGAGTTGGACGGGCCCAGTCCTTTGCTGTGGGGTGAGGGGGGCG